ACTAAATCTGTTTTTTGTGAGTGGGATGAATTAATGCACATTCACATTTAGTCTAGAACTACAGTAACATCAGGTTCACACAGCACACACAACGCCTCTGTACTCCCGATTTCTCCCAATATGGGGACCGGAGAGCTGTCAGTCAATAAATGGGAAAACAAAGTAACTTGCATTACTTTTTTGAAAAAGTAACTCCGCTATTTTCTTGTAAATTAAAAAAGTAATGCGTTACTTTACTAGTTACTTGACAAAGTAATCTGATTACGTAACTCGCGTTACTTGTAATGCGTTCCCCCAACACTGGCTGTAACATGCTGCTCAGCACTGTTTTACTTGCGAACACACATTAACACAGTTTTGTTTTTGTCGTTTGTGCAGCAAACTTTGCACCTACTACATGACAGAATCTAGCAGATTTAGACGAATGCAGAAATTAGGGATGTAACGGTATGAAAATTTCATATCACGATTATAGTGACCAAAGTTATCACGATTATCAATATTATCACGGTTTTGTTCAAATTAGATGAAAACGTTCAAAAGGAACTGATACACACTGAAAACATTTCAATAAGTTTTATATTTGAAAATCAACAAATACAATTAGCAGCTATATGAACTTTTTTTTTTAGCAAAAACATTAAATTAACATTAACATGAAGCCCTAATAATAATAATAATAATAATAAATCACTTGTGTGTGTGTATATAGATATAGATATATATACACACACAATGTGATTTCCGTTAGTGATCATGTGATCTTCGGTTAGGAGATCTTGTGATGCTTTTTAAAACAAAGTTGGGGTTGATTTCGAGTTCACATACAAACATAAATAGAATAGGCTAATTAAATTTTTCAATTTTAATGTAAGACAACATATTTTTCGTCAGTGATAGAAATATTATTTAAGACGGTAGTGTAAGCAAGTTTAGTTGAAAACGTTTAATAGTAAATAAGACACAATTAGACAATATTTGAATAAAATAATAAGTATTTATTTGCAACAACTGATGGAGTGCTGAATGATGAACGCACGCACAGCGTTGTCAAGGTAACATTTGGTCAGTCATTCCCTTCACCGAGGGAGTTTCAAACGCTTATACGAGACAGTAATACCCTGCACCCTTCAAAGAACACACTTCAAGGGCTCTGCCCTTCGACGGGAGTAGGGCATAGGGATGCTCACTTCTGTTTGGAATTCGCCGCATGTCTCTTGTATCACCACAGAGGTGCGGACGCGCTCTCGTTTCATTCAAATGCAGCTTGCCGTCTTGCGTCTCAGTTTTTGATTGTATTGAAAATGAAATCAGAGGAATTTAGTATTAATACTACTATAATTTTGCTGTAGTGATCATATTGTTCTGACGATTTTATACACTGTTCACAATGGATTTATAAGATTTCAAAACATTAATCTCAGTTCAATATTTCATATCCCCGTATTTATATATTATTTTAGGTAAACAAAAAAATCTGTGTAATAAGTTTACTAACCGTCAGGGCATTTTATCGTGATTTATCGTAAAACCGGTAATCGTTACATCCCTAGCAGAAATGTTTTGAGGTTTTATTCCAGGGAATCCTTAACAGAATAGTTCATCCAAAAATGGAAATTTGCTGAATTTTTTCCCCCTCCCCTTCAGGTAGGGCAGGGTGATATGGCCAAAAAATTATCACGGTATTTTTTTTTCACATCAGTCGGTATCGATAATTATCGCGATACATGTACAATTTTTATTTCTTTTAAGTTTAAAGGGTTAGTTCACCCCAAAATGAAAATTCTGTCATTAATTACTCACCCTCATGTCGTAAGAACACAAATTAAGATATTTTTGATGAAATGTGAGAGCTCTCAGACCCTGCATAGGCAGCAACGCAACTGTAATGTTCCCAAGTCCAGAAACGTAGCAAGAACTAGGGATGCGCCGATCCGATATTCATATCGGGTATCGGCTCCGATAGCGCCATTTTTCTCGTTTTTATCAAATCCGAGATTTTTTAATTTATTTTTTCTCAATTGTGCAAATTATTCTGTGTTACTTCTGAAGCTTAATGTGAGCTACATATGAATATTTAAGTCCTTACATTAAAGTTCACACAAACTCTTTTCTCCGCTGTCATTCGTTCAGCCTTTAATCCCTGGTCGCGTTCGGTTACAGCAGTCAGCTCGGTAAAGCTCTCTCCAAGATCATTCTGTGTTCCCATTATACTTGATTTGTAAATACACGTCTATGATTTTGCAAAAAGGACTTTATCTTCTTGCCGGAGTTTAATGTTGTTTTGTTACTTGCTACCGGGTGTCTGTGAGAACAAAACACGGGCGTAGAAAAGACTATAAATTGTTTTTAACATAAGTAAGGAGTAACTGAAATTTAAAACCGTTAAAAGAAAGGCTCAATAACTGTTGCACAGATATAATACACTACGCATCAATTTCTCTTCCCTTTGTGCTTTGCAGTTTTTAACACGAAGCGCGTACAATGTGCGCATCCGGTGTGCAGGCTGTGACGCCAGGTTGCTTCAGGCTTCAAGCGCATCATTCTGCACAGCGGATGCACACATTGTACGCGCTTCGTGCTCATAGACTGTATAAAAACAGTTCGTGCTGCACTGTATATGTTTTGTCCTATCGTATCTATCATATGTTGTTGCCTTATTAAAAAATATGCTATACATTTAAAAGAAATGTAGTTTAATTTTATAGTATATACTTGTATATAAATACATTCATGAAAGTTTTTAAAGAGATTTTATAATAATACAAATAGCAATGTGTAACATTTTACCATATTTAGTGCAACACTTTTATTTGTTCCCCACAAAATATAGTTTTTTCACTAAATGTTTGGATTTCTAAAACTATTGTGCACTGATTTTTCTAGAGTAACTTTTGCTGCCGAATTATCCACTAACCTAGTTTATGATACATTTTTGTCATAGATTATAAATATACATAGGCCTATATTTTTTCATATTTATTGTTTATTTTATTTTTCTTTATAATGAAGTAGTCTGTATCTAGTAGATTGTGAAAGAATGATTATCAGTTCCACACACAGAGATATATAAATTCTACATTTATTTAAATGGGGGAAAAAATATTCACTGGTATCGGTATCGGCCAATACCGAACCCTAGGTATCGGAATCGGTATTGGAGGCGAAAAAGGCGGATCGGAGCATCCCTAATAAGGACATCGATAAAACAGTCCATGTGACATCAGTGGCTCAACTTCAGTTTTGCGAAGCTACCAGAATACTTTTTGAGCGCAAAGAAAACAAAAATAACACGAAATCAGCATATTAGAATGATTTCTGAAGGATCATGTGACACTGAAGACTGGAGGAATGATGCTGAAAATTCAGCTTTGATCACAGAAATAAATTACATTTTAAAATATATTCACATAGAAAAGTTATCAATTTCTAAATTCTAAATATTTCATAATATTACAGTTTTTATTGTATTATTGGTCAAATAAATACAGCCTTGTTGAGCAGAAGAGACTTTTAAAAAAACCTTTCGTCCCCAAAATTTTGAACAGTAGTGTGCATCACACTTTAAAGGGGTCGTGAACTGAGAAATTAAAATTCTCTTGATCTTTTGACAGATAAGAGGTCGTTGTTCTATAGAAACATCCTGTAAGTTTCAGAGCTCAAATCTTTCTCGTTAGTCTAAAAACAGCTTATATTGAAGTCAATGTCAAAACGACGGGTTGTCGAATGTGCCACTTTATGATGTAATAGTGGCTAAACCCCACCTCCACAGAAGATCAACACCTGCTTCTACATCACTGCCTGTTTAGCCCCGCCCACCGATTCTGCATCACTGCCTGTTTAGCCCCGCCCACCGATTCTGCATCACTGCCTGTTTAGCCCCGCACACTGGAGTATGGGGGGATGAAGAGAAGAGCAGTATAGGATCACTAGACTAAAAAAACATTACCTTCCAAAGGATCCTAATCCTAGTAAAGTTATGATTTATTTGCAACTATGTGGATGTCTAAGTAGAGCATTTTTGTTTGTTCAGTACATTTGACTGTGGATTCTTTGGTAAATCAGTCGCAGTTTCGGTGCAGACTTTTACACTAAGATATGAACCCGACAGTAATACCACAACATGGAAGTAACCGTTTTCATACTATTGCCTAATCGTAAATTATATACAGAAAGCGATCAAAGAACGCTCCCTTTATAATCGCTGGAGCTGTCAATCACACAGCGCAAGTACACTGCTCATTTACATCGCTTTTGTGCTGTTAGTTTTGATAAGTGCAAAACTGGAGTTGCAAGGACGAGAACACTGCATTCAAGCGCTCAACAGTCTGTCATCACAAAGCTCATCGCTGCAACCTTTCGTGCAATGTGAGTAGATCTAAATATAATGCTATAATCAACACTTTCCACGATCGGTTAATCTCAACAGCTGTAACAGTAAAAGCGCTGTAAATTTTCAAGAGCTCCACGAAGTCTGACAGCAGACACGCCCCTTCCAGCAGAGCGGCTAAAATCAGGGTAGAAAAATTTGCTTTTATTTCTAAATTATGGCAGTTTTTGGTGTGAAAATCATTCTAGCATTATAAGTGCACCTCAGGAAACATGATCAAATAATTGAAAAATGCAGTTCATGACCCCTTTAAATAAACTATATGTCAGTGGACAAAAATATTTTTTATAAAAAAATTTGTTTGTGCAGTTCATGTTTGTTTTGCTTAAATTTAGGACAGATTTATCCTAAATAAAAAAAAACAGTATTTCTACTCAGATTTCTAGGTCTTGTCTATTTTGAAAAATAACTTGAGGGAGACTTTAATCTCGTTAAATATTATCAGTGATGCAAATATACCTTAAGTTTTACTTCTGAAATGCAATTGTTTTAAATATTGGTGTGGTTATTTTGTACGGTATTCTTTTTTTTTTTTTATTCTTTTAAGATATTTAACAATTTACAAAACAGACTATTTGATAATGCGTACTGCTTCCTTCGGACAGATTATTTCTTATTTTCTGTTTATGACTGTAGTCTCACCCTGAGCCCTGTTCTTCATGCTTTGCATAGTTCATCTGGCATTATAGAGAGAATTCCCCTTTGGGTAATTAGTTTAAGCGCACATTTGGACTGAATTTGATTGGTTAAGATCGATTGAGTTCATTCAGTAATGCATGCATGAAGAACAGGGTCGTGGTCTGTTGTGAACATCTGCTTTAACTCTCTGATGTATCACTGTAGGAACGGCAGGAGGCTGAAAAAATGTTCAGAGGCAAACGAGGTGCTCAGCTTGCAAAGGATATTGCCAAGCAAACCAAAACGTAAGATGAAACTCCTTGATCAAGCACAGCTCCCCCGAATTACTGGACTGTGGAAGTTATGAACCCGACATCTCGGAGAATGAAAGCTGACTCTGAATTGGCTGTTAAAACCTAGATGTCCATATCAGACTTCAGCAGTGTTTCTCAGGGGAGCTGGCTCAAGGCTTTTCTGTCTCGTATCAGTTTATTCATATCGATAAGATACTCCAGATACTACACTCTGGTTGTGGGAACAGTGGTTGAAAGGCTGCAGAGGCACATAAACGCGGTTACGTTGTCTGAACACCAAATGTCCTCTGTTGCTCTCAGGTTTACTCCAGGAGCAGCACTTCAGATTGAGAAAACAGGGCCGTCTGCTGCAGATGTTGAAGCCATCAAGGTATGGAAGAACTGAACACTCAAGAGGTTGCACTTTAAATACATTTATATGGATATATTTGGAATTTATCTATATTATATTCTATAATATAAAAATCTTTGTGTGTGTGTGTGTGTGTGTGTGTGTGTGTGTGTGTGTATGTATGTATGTATGTATATATATTTTACACATACATTAGGAATTTTATATTATAGAATATAATATATTCTATAATGTTAAAGGGGTCATATGATGCGATTTCAAGTTTTCCTTTCTCTTTGGAGTGTTACAAGCTCTTGGTGCATAAAGAAGATCTGTAAAGTTGCAAAGACTAAAGTCTCAAATCCAAAGAGATATTCTTTATAAAAGTTAAGACTCATCCACGCCCCCCTAAAACGGCTCGTTCTAACACGCCCCCACATGTCTATGTCACTATGTGGGAAGATTTGCATAACGCCAGCCAAATGTTCACATGAAGAAAGAAGGCGTAACTTTTATTCTCGCTGTAGTATTGTTGCGGCAATGCTGTGTGTTTCGTTGCGAAAAACAAACTACTTGGTTTGGTCTTCCAAAAGAGGAAACAACTAGAAATCAGTGGGTACATTTTATTTACAACACTGTTCCAGAGCAGTTCAACCCAAATATTTGAGTGCATGCAACAAATTTTACGGAGGAAAATTCCTGAATCTGGTAAGGGGCGTAACATCTCCGTCACTTGCTTGAAGTATTCGGCCAATCACAACGCACTGGATAGCTGGCCAATCACATCACACCTCGCTTTTCAGACCGATGAGCTTTGTAAAAATCGACGTGTTTCAGAAAGGCGGGGCATAGAGGAGAAACAATAATGTACAGTATGTGGAAAATAATGTTTTTTTTAACCTTAAACCGCATAAACACATTTCATTACACCAAATACACAAAATACTGTTCTTTTTAGCAGCATCATATGACCCCTTTAATATATATATCTAATTTATTCCTGTGATGTAAAGCTGAATTTTCAGCATCATTACTCCAGTCTTCATTGTCACATGATCAGTGTTGGGAGTAACGCATTACAAAAGTAACGATATTACAGTAGTATATTACTTTTTGCTGTAACGCAGTAATATAACGCATTACTAATAAAATTTGGGTATTATTATTACTCGTTACTATCTCAGTAACGCATGTTACAACATATTTTCACTCAAAATTAAGTGGTGGATTTATTTGCCAACACCGCAAAACAGCACCAGACAATAAATTCCGCGGGTGAAATACTTTCTTTTTCCTGTTGCTGTAATTCGATGATTGAGATGGATTCTACATTTGTGTGATGGGCATACTGCGGGGTCGGAGACGAGAAAGAATGCGGCGGAATTTGCGGAAAGCGCATTAAGTACAAAAGCATGGTTTACATAGTAAATAATAGTTTAGCATTCAAATACATCGCAAATATAGAAACATGAATTCGTGCCAAATGATAGAGGTAGACTGCGTGAGAACAAAGGCATTTGCTTTCAGTTTCGCTTTCAATTAATTTGTTTTGGCTTGTATAAATAATATATATATTTATAATATAAATAATTAGTAATTTATATTTTTCATTCTTGTTTTGTTCTGAATAGGCTACAGTTAAATATAAAGGATTTGTTGTTGAGTGAGGAGAACTAAATTAGCCTATAGACTTGCTATTGTGTTTATTGCTTGTTCATTAGGGCCTATAACATTTTCATTTACCGCTATTATTTCTGAATGTAATTGTGGTTTGTGCTTGAAAGTGAAAGTAACTCAAAAGTAGTGTAACGCATTACAATTCAGAGACAGTAATATTGTAATGTAACTAATTACTTTCAAATGGCAGTAATAAGTAACATATAATGTATTACATTTTGGAAGTAACTTGCCCAACACTGCACATGATCCTTCAGAAATCAGTCTAATATGCTGATTTGCTGCTCTAGAAACATTGATAATAATGTCGTGCTGCTTCGTGTATTTGTGGAAACTCTGATGCATTTTTATTTAGAATGTTTTGATGAATAGAGAGTTCGAAAGAAGAGCGTTTATTTGAAAAAGAAATCGTTGGTAACGTTATAAATGTCTTTACTGTCACTCCTGATCTATTTAATGCATCCTTACTGAATAACAGTATTGATTTCTTGTACTCCTCAAATGTCAGTTTAATGTATTCATATAGCTTATTCATATATGAATACATATAGGTTGATGTCCTGGTATAATGTGTCTCACTTGTGGTGTTTATGTGAAGAATGCTATTGCTAATGCCACGTCCCTGGCTGAAGTTGAGCGGCTGAAGGGACTCCTGCAGGCCGGACAGATCCCAGGACGAGAGCTGAGATCAGGTATTATATTTCATTTGCACTTATACATAAACACATTAACCACAAATGATGGGAGAAGTCATTAATTCATTGGTGAAAGAGTGGGAACTCTGTGTGTAGCTCGTTTTAGCTGAAATGTGTAACTTTGATGCGGTTGATGGTTGCTGCTCTTGGTATGAATAGCTGACGTGAGTCTCAGACTGAGGCTTTTCTGAAAAGCCGATTTGTTTGGTGTGCAAGCAATCAACATTTTAATAAGTCATGGGACATACCTGGTTTCCTTTAAAGCACTTAAAATGATCGAGCTTCTCAAGTCTTTTGTTTGCCTTTTTCAGGAGCGTCTAACATGGTAGAGGAAGAGGAGGAGATGCAGGAGTCGGAGCCCATGTGTGAGGAGACGCAGGGAGCAGAGGGAGAAAACGGAGACACTGATGACGTGCAGGAAGACTTGCATATGAATGGATCTTAGATGTGTTCGTTTGTTGATGTTTCAGAATCGTTAATGCTTTTTGATGCTGTTTGACAGCACTGGTTTCAATAAGTGTTGTTTTTTGTAAAGTACATTAAACATTTTTTTTATTATCTTTGATGTGAATGTTTTTGTTCTTTTATGTATATACGTGGTCAAGAATTTCTTCTGTTTTCTAATATTTTGTGAACTGAAACGTATGACCACCGCCAAAGATTAGAAGTTCAAATATATCAATGCTGATTATTTACAGTTTGTTCATTATTTTAAGAACTCGTTTCACTCAAACTATAAATTCATGGCACCGTTCTTGCCCAGTTATTTTGTAAACGCTTAGTAAATCTGCAATTTTTTTTAGATGCCACAAAGCCCTAAATGTGACCATCCTCGTGAGTATCTATATATTTTCTTGTATAAATACCTAATTTAAAATGTTAAATTAAAAATGAAACTATTATAAATTGTACTTAAAAAAAAAAATATTTTAAATGTCTTAAAATATTTGGTTCTAATTAAGATATATTGTTCTTTCCTACTCGTACTGTTACCTTTTGTTATTTACGTTTTACAATCTGTATTTGAATTATTTCGTTTTAAACACGTGTATGTGTGTGTGTGTGTATATATATATATATATATACACAAACACACGGTACTCTTTAATATTTTTATCTACTCCTTTACTAATTCTCTTTTTAAGTTGCTTATTTCACCTTTTTTAGTTTTACATATACATGTGTATATATACATACGTGCAGTGTTGGGGTAATATATTACAAGTAACGCGAGTTACGTAATCATTACTTTTTTCAAGTAACTAGTAAAGTAACGCATTACTTTTTCATTTACAAGAGAATATCTGAGTTACTTTTTCAAATAAGTAACGCATGGTACTTTTTTTTCAATGTATTGATTGACAGCTCTCCTGTCCCCATGCTGAGAGAAATCAGAAGATGTTACTGTAGTTCTAAAATAAATATTACTATGCATTAATTCATCTCACTCGCAAAAAACACAGATTCAGTATTCCTCAACATGAATAAAAAGAATGCAACTCAGAACATGACGCAAACCTGCAATAATTAAATGTTCAACCGTACTAATAAGCAGAAATTACTCTAGACGAGCATTTGTGTGTGTTTGTTTATTGCTGAAGTGTGTTGAAATTTCTTCTTCTGCATTCTACTGTACGGACGTGAATGTACTTTCCCTTCAGCCTGAGGCTTATTCATTTCACTTTTGGTGTGAAAAGCTTTTATATTTGCCAAAAATATAACTTTTTTATTTTAAAACAAACAAGCAAGCCCTGTCCAGATTTTAAAAGTAACGTAACGCATAACTTTCCATAAAAAGTAACTAAGTAACGTAATTAGTTACTTTTTTATGGAGTAACGCAATATTGCAATGCATTACTTTTAAAAGTAACTTTCCCCAACACTGCATACGTGTGTGAGTGTGTGAGAGAGTGTGTGTGTGTGTGTGTGAGAGAGTGAGTGTGTGTGTGAGCGTGTGTGACAGAGAGTGTGTGTGTGTGAGAGAGAGTGTTAGTGTGTGTGAGAGAGTGCGTGAGAGAGTGAGTGTGTGTGTGAGCGTGTGTGACAGAGAGTGTGTGTGTGTGAGAGAGAGTGTTAGTGTGTGTGAGAGAGTGCGTGAGAGAGTGAGTGTGTGTGTGAGCGTGTGTGACAGAGAGTGTGTGTGTGTGTGTGTGAGAGAGAGTGTGAGTGTGTGTGTGTGTGTGTGTGTGTGTGAGAGAGAGAATGTGTGTGACAGAGAGAGTGTGTGTGTGTGTGAGCGTGTGTGACAGAGAGTGTGTGTGTGAGAGAGAGAGTGTGAGTGTTAGTGTGTGTGAGAGAGTGCGTGAGAGAGTGTGTGTGAGAGAATGTGTGTGTGAGTGTGAGTGTGTGTGTGTGTGAGAGTGAGTGTGTGTGTGTGAGAGAGAGAATGTGTGTGTGAGAGAGAGAGTGAGTGTGTGTGTGAGCGTGTGTGTGACAGAGAGAGTGTGTGTGTGTGAGAGAGAGAGTGAGTGTGAGTGTTAGTGTGTGTGTGAGAGTGAGAGAGTGAGTGTGTGTGTGAGAGAGAATGTGTGTGAGTGTGTGTGTGTGTGTGAGAGAGTGAGAGAGAATGTGTGTGTGTGTGTGTGTGTGTGTGTGCGTGAGGGATAGTGTGTGTGTGTGTGTGAGAGAGAGTGTGTGTGTGTGTGTGTTTGTGTGTGTGTGTGAGAGAGAGAGAGAGAGTGTGTGTGTGTGTGTGAGAGAGAGAGAGAGTGTGTGT